CCACAGTAGATCGAATCCTTGAGGGTAGATTGCGTGTCGAAATGATTGCACCATGTCGATCCACTCCGACGATTACGTAATATTCACAGATGATGGCGTAATCACTGACGCATCGTCGTCGACCACGAGTCTCAGAGCTGGATCGGGTCACTTCCCATCAATCAACCCCTTGTTCGCAGAAGCCAACTGTCACTTCACCACACTGTCGATAAGCTCCGTTACGACACGGAGGGCAAGCTCTCAATTTCCAACTTGAGCACAATGTCATAGAGCAGGTTTGCGACGACTATACCCACTTTGCGCAGTGGCCAAGCGAAATGCAGCGCAACGATGTCATCGACTTCAACACAAATATACAAGTGGTAAGATGGTTCAAGCTCCATACAGCGCGGAAGAAGTCGGCAGCACTCGATTATTTGGTGCGCTGTATTAAAGAGACTAAGTTTTCTGACTCGTCGCTTAGCTCGTTATCATCTTGAATGAGACCGCAAAGGCTTTTGTCTTTGCGCATACCAACGTGGTCGTCGTGGTTATATACGTAAACACGGAACCAGACAGAAGATTATCAAGAAGCTCGTCGATGCTGGTGTCGAAGCGCGCCACAGCATCGACACGAAGAGGATGCATTGCAAGCTGGCAATTTTGAGATGAGCATTGTATGTAGCTCCAACATTGCTTGGTGATTTAACTAATAATTTGTAGCTTTTTTTTCGAGCGCGGCGTTGAAAAGGGCAGATAACCAGGAGGATACTCTCTACTGTTGTTCACCTGAGCTCAGTAAATTATTTGTGTGGATGTTGCTAAACATGTTCGTTATTCGTTATCGGTACTGGTAATTTGAAATTTGCTTATTGAGATGAGGAAGCTCTCAAGCCAATATGGGAAAGTGTATGATGTGAACGAGGGGGGGGGGGGGGCGATCTGGACTCTTTCATCTCACTTACGGACAAGGTCAAGGCAACAGTGGATATATGATTTCAAGTCTGAACCTTCGGGCATCCTCCAATCTCTGTCCAAGAAGCCATCAGTAGAACGACAGCGAAGCTCCATAACACAGATGTTGTCTTTGCGGGAACCTCAACTGAAGATTGGTATCCCCCAACTCACAGCAATTCACAGCGACTACAGTGTGAGCAGCTTCGTTTCTACATCATGGATAGAGAAGTTGAAGCCCGGTGATACCAGAGCAGGCTTAACGGGTTGAAGAATCAAAAGATAGAAACCTGTACCAAGTTATATCGCTACGCAAGAAAGTGGCCCATTTCCAGCTGTTGATGGGGTTTTTCGATGGCTTGGTTTGCGTGCTGGAAGATTTTTCGAGGCTTTCACTGTATATGGTTTGGCTCTCTCTGATGGTGATTTTGATAGTACGGTTGGAGAGTTTATCCTGATCGAGAATCATATTAATTGTAATGCTAAATATTTTTGTTTCTACGAGTGATTTAGGTGGTGGTAGTTCCTCGCGGTTTGAACTGGTCTTGCCAGTGGTATTGGACGGCTTTCTGCTGCTAGAATTGATTTTAGTGATAAAGAGATTTTCGCTGCTGGAAGTGGTTTTGATGGTGATGTTGTATTCGTTGAACTTCTTGCGGTCGAATTCGGGTTTGGCGAGCTACAGCTACATCAACTGTAAGAACTGACACAGTCACCGCGTGCAAACAACCTCAACAGACTGGTGAGATGTCACAACATCTCGGAAAAGGGCGGAATGCATGTCGGGTGTTCAAAGGAAACCGTTGACAATATCCTGATTCAAGACCATGGTGGTGGATACCCATGCCAACCCGAAGGCTGTTTAAATGGCACCCGAGCGAGAAGGCTGTGCAGTAAACAGAATACCTAACACAATGGTGGTCCCTTTGTCAGAGTAAAGGCTGTGCCAGCATTGTTCGAGTGAAACTGTCTACCTCGGCCCCACAAAGGAAGGTACTCGCAAGCGTTAAATGAGGCTGCATTGTCCTGGAGCTTGTAGCTAAATCCTACCTCAAGTAGTTACAAGTAGTATTAATATGCAAGCGACTATTAATCGCACTAATACTCTGGCAGAAAAAGAGAAGAGTTGGTCGCCGCGCATACTGCTTAATTTGTGAGTGCTATCTTTCCCTTTTTTTCAACCGAGACAGTTTGGTCCAAACTGGTCAGCCCAAAACCGAGTAGAAAAAAAGTTGACATTCACAAATGATTTAGTGCTTGAGGTTTTGTAAGACCTATTTAAAATATGATTGATATCAAAAGAACAATAATTGTAAATTCAATAACGAGATCGTCTGCGACTAACGCTTACTAACGCTATTCAATTATTGTTCTTTTGATATCAATCATATTTTAAATAGGTCTTACAAAACCTCAAGCACTAAATCATTTGTGAATGTCAACTTTTTTTCTACTCGGTTTTGGGCTGACCAGTTTGGACCAAACTGTCTCGGTTGAAAAAAAGGGAAAGATAGCACTCACAAATTAAGCAGTATGCGCGGCGACCAACTCTTCTCTTTTTCTGCCAGAGTATTAGTGCGATTAATAGTCGCTTGCATATTAATACTACTTGTAACTACTTGAGGTAGGATTTAGCTACAAGCTCTAGGACAATGCAGCCTCATTTAACGCTTGCGAGTACCTTCCTTTGTGGGGCCGAGGTAGACAGTGACAAAGCTTGGCAATGCCCACTATGCTCGACATCGAATGAAATCGCCGACGATGACCCGTCCCCGAGGTGCACAACATGTCACCGTGCCCGCAGTCCGGATTGGCTGCAGTTAGAAGACTCGGGACTTCAGGTGCATTTGGCGATAAGTTCGTCTTGCAACTTTCAATAATTCAAATGCTAATGCACTGCCACTCTAGATCACGTTAGGATCTCGCGTGTTTCATACCAGCGTTGGTGGATCCAAATCTGTGTCGATTGTTGTCGCCATCAACTACGCGCAAAAAGTTCTCACGCTCCTGCGGGTGAAGACTAACCGTAATGTGGGAACGCAGCAACGTGACGTCAGCTTCCATGAAATTGTTCTCAGCGCGCCGCAGATGCAGCAGCAGCTTGAGCCTTTAAATGACGAGTACGAGGACGACTGCGTGCTTGATAATTACGGTATATGTGGTGAATGTCGTGGCGTTTTTCATATTGCTCAGAGAGACCCTCAGTCCCAATATGCACACCAGGACAGAATCAACGAGCTTCAAAACGAGTTGCAACAGCTCGGGGAGCAGAAACAGCGGTTTGCCAAGGAAAAAGCGTATAATAGGACTTTAGATTGTACGGAAGAGGTCAAGTTGAAGACAACTCAGCTCCAAGCCGCCAAGCGCGAGTTAGAGTTTCTAATCCCTGTGTTTTGTCCATTCTGCGGATGGTCATCGTCGCAATAAACGAAAAGAAGACCAAGAAGAGGGAACGACTGTACATTCCTTTAAATACTCAACGAGAACATTCCGTCCTACTGTCGGTGTCGAAAGTGTCGCCGTCCGGTACTTCACGATTGTATACAATCGTGACGCTCAAAGGAAGTGCTTCTCTCGGACGCTAGAACTGCAAATACTTAATGGTTTTACATGACTGAGCAGCCAAACCACGACTCATCGGAGTCTTTCGCAGCCACGCCTTTCATATCGTTGTCCAAGTGCTTCATTGCTGCTGCGATATTAGTTTCGAAATAAGGGTGCCACACATGGTCGTACAGGAATCGAGCTGTGAATGATAGGTCTCCTTTGTACGCTTTAGCGACCTTGACACCCCCCCAGACGCGACTGCGCTCCACAATCCACGGAACCATCACACGCTTTGGCTTTGTTGCGCGAAAGATCCGTGGCATGACATATCGCTGAAAGGCTTTCTCTGAAAATGCCAACTCGATAGCAGGCTTGAAGGCCTCTTCTTCTAGCGCTAGCACGTTGAAGAGTAGATGATTGAGTCGGCGAATATCGTCCTGCAGCATACCAAGACGCGTTTGCCACGAATCAGCAGATGACGCGGCGGAGAAGACCAAGTCATCTTCCTGAGCAACGATAACATTAACCAGCGCGTAAATGGCCTGATACAGAGTAACAATATCGCGTTTTTCCACGAACTTGATGACGACAAGGGGGAGCAGTACCGTCGACTTGACATGATGCTGATTTCGTACGAACTCGACGAAGTGCAGCTTGAACCAACTGAAAAACTCACGCACATTCCAATTCATGGGCGATTTCAGGTCGCGGCTGCGCTCCAGGAAGCGATCGATTACGTACAGAGCATGTCGGATCGGTTCGTGTAGTCCGAGCAGAAACTGCGAGTTCCAGCTCATGTCTACTTCGTCGTTGCGCGTCAATACGTTTGAGAACACGACATTTTCACCTTTCCGCACTGGCCCCGAGACTGGCGTATTCATTACATTGGCAAAATCATCCGACGATAGCTCTCGTCGGAGTGTATCGGCATCCATTCTCAACGGACCAAGGCTTAGGATGGTCGAGGGAGTGACGCCTGACGAGCTTTCCTCGCTGCTGTGCTCGGAAATGGGCGTTGATAAGTTGCTGGTGCTCTGCTGCGTCTTGCTTAGCATAGCAGTCTTAGCGGCTCGGGCATTCTGTTGCGATTCCAGCGATGCCCAGATATTGAAGAACTCTGTGTCGGTTGGACCTTCATAGCCGCTCTTGTAGTCGATCGTCGTCAACACATGAGCTACTTGACTAATGTCTACGAGTTGCGAAGACATCTTGGTAGGGGGCACATCCGGCGGAGACCAGATATTCGAATAGAAGACGGTCTCGTCACTCGGAAGGCGGCGCGGTTTCTTGGCGCGTTCGCTCTTGGACACCATTGCCAGTCGGCTTTTCACGAGCGGTTTGCGTTTGGGGTGGGCTACGGGCTTCATAGCCCGGCTGCGAAGCAGCACAGGATCCTCTCGGTGTACGCGCTTGAGAGGTAAGAACTCTCTGCCAGGTATGTCGCTTTGCACTTGAACTGGCATGGTCGTCTCCTCCCTTTTTTCTTCTTATACACCCGCTTCTCTCTCCCTTCACTCAACTGGGGGCAAAACAATCCACCAGATGCCGCTACGCTTTTTTTTTTTAATTTGCTGGCAATGCTCTCGATGCTTCTGCTCGAATGGCGAGATCCTCCTAAGTCGAGGTAGACAGATGGAGGCGGGCGAGCTGAAGAGAGAAGCAGAGCGTATCACAGTGAGGACAGCGCGTTAGTCGCGGCTTGTGAGTACGGCAACGCTTGTCAGCAAGAGAAACAGGTGCAGCCACCAAAGTGTCTCGACAAGCGCAGCCACAGTCGTTACTGCCGGTTTTGTCCTTGATTGAAGAATGAAGAATGCGGCAGAGAGACAACCGCGACTTGGGGTTTGACATATTTCACACAGTGCAAAGTCTCAACCCAGCCGCCAGCTGGGAAGAAACACAATGTCTCCGATTCCCAGAGAGCGGTCATAAGGCGCTCGCTGCCAGGCAACCCACAAGAAACCGATCCCAGACGGCAGACTGTGTGCAGTATCGCATTGGACCGAGCACGCAGCGGCAGTGAGGAAGGCGCCTGAACTTAAGGATGAAGGGGTCAGATTTTTTCCGTCTCGGTACCAAGCCAAAATTTGATTGGAGGATAACTTCAATTTGTGCTGAATACGACTCCCGAAGTCGGACGCTTGTCGAAGGCTGAAGAACTGTAAGGTGGCCGCTACCAACTTGACATCGACGCATGGGCACTCCTCTCAGTACCAAGAGGCAACAAGGAGAATAATTCACGCAAAAATCGTTCGGTTAAAATGATCGGTAAGCTTAGCGTTTCTCATCCGACCTCTTCGGTCCGTAATACGGACTCCGTATAGTGTAATGGAAAATGCCAATTCGGGGCCAACTGTCTTTTTTAGTTTTACTTGTATATTTTGTTCTAAGACAACACCAAGGGTACCAACCAAAAGTTGTCGATTTTGTCAATTTGTCTCGGATTTTTAAAACGCGCGGACACATTTAGTTTGGACTCGAAGCATCCAGTAATTGCGCACCCAGACTATTTGCGAAGAGATACAAAAATAGCTTATATGGGTCAAAATCTGGACCAATTTATTGTACCTATTCAAAAAATGGGTATATTCACTGTCATCATCCTTACCGCTCTCGAGGTTCTCGTTGTATCGGTCAACAATATCTCTAAGAGGGGCTGAAAATTTAGCTACTTCCCATCGACCATTCAATCCCTTGGACATTCCACACTTTATCATAGCTTTTCGAGAAAGCATAAGTCCCTTCTTGTCTATTCGCTGGTTGACGCGCTGGTTGACGGCTCTCACGCAATGCAAGCCAACTTAAGGTAAAATTGTTCTCCTGGATGCTGCAGAGATACTCGGTCCCACTTGATCCGTCAGCGTCGTTAAGTACGGCTGTGGCGACAGGATCTGAGCGCTGGTTTTGATGCTGTTGAGCATTTGCAGTTCTCGTGACAGACGCGAATTACAACGCACAGTCCTCCCTGCTTTTCTTCTAGGACAACCCCACAAAAAACATGGTTGCGGTTGGCACACACGTCACATGCATGTGAAACGCTAGACATATTCCCATCGCAGCCGCTGCACGTATACATGGTCGAGTATTGTTGTCTTCTGCTTGCTCTTTTGAAAATGAGCTGTCCACAGAGAGCCAAGAAGCCGATGTGGAATTATGGGTCTCAATTACGGTTTAATCCATACTAAATAGGACCGACGGTCGCAATTAGTCTGGATTGGGAATCCAGTTCCAATGGACAAAATTAGTCTGGACCAGCCTAATTAGGAGTTACTTACGCCTTTTTTTTAACTGTAGAGGTTTTCATTGGCCAAACGAGCCGGCCCCGGATTGCAATTCCCCTTATTTTATTTCAAAAAAAATAACGCGACATCTTATTTAAATTATTTCAGAGGCTAATATCATTTTTGTTTTTTTGTCTACATCTGTGAGTCGGTTTTTAGTTCTTAATAAGTATTGCCATCATCTTTGGAAGAATACCGCCAAGCACATCAGGATCAAAATTCGCAGATGGAGCAGGCTGACGGTATCCTGAAGTATCTGGTTGAAGGCGGTCTGCTTTTAACACTCAGGGATCTTTTTCTCGATATAAACGTTATGGAACATGTAAATGTCTGTCGAACTGTCGACGCAACCAAGATTCTCGTGACGAGAACCATCCAAAAGCGATGAATAGATATCGATAGCCTACGTGTTTTCGCCCTGCTCGCCTCACTCTAGCCCTAGGATCCTACTTACGCTGGGACACGATGTCGGACTGTCTTAAAGTCCGACATAAAAACGTGGCGACGAGAGCATACAGAGCCGTGGACGAAGGTGGAGTCTTCTCCACACAAATAGCATCAGCAGTGCTGCCTTCGCCAAACAGGCTGAAACTGGGTCAAAGAATAGAATTGGATTGAACATCGAAGCGTTTCAGCCTCCATAACTCTTATGACATGAGAGTCTGGATTGTTGGCACCTTGAGCAAGTTGCCCTGTAAACGAATGGCTTCAATAAGATATATGATTGGTCAAAAGTCATTTGTTTTAGCCCATCATGCACCGCCTACGTAGCCCACACAAGATCCAAAATGTCGGGAGGAGTCGCTGCCGCTGGAGCGGTTGCAGGATGGTCGGTCTTAGCTCACTGGTCGTCGACCAGTGGTCGAGTTGAGCGGAGAAGTGGAGGAAACCAACACAAGACCAGCAGACAGCACTAGCAACACTCTGCAACACAACACTCTGAAGTGGGGGGTCATGGGGCAGCAGGTCTCGCTTCCGGCCGCGGTGACGCAGCCGCCGGGCGAGCGCGCGAAGCTGCGTCCACTGCAAGCACCTTATGTGCCACTCTGTGACGTCCTCAAGGCCGGCGACACCGTTGCGGAAGACGCGAAAGACGCTATGGACAAGATCCTCGAGTTCGGCGCCGCCCTGCGCTATCTCCCAAAAGGTGAAGGCAATATAATGAATCACAATAAAAAAAATGAATATACTTTCTGACGTTCTTGTCACCGACAGAGAGCGAAGTATCCGGACGCCTGCAGACACGCAGTCCAGAACAGCAGATGAAGGAGCTTATGAACCCCGTGGACTCGGTAGACGAGTTATTCCAGCACATTTCCCAGCTGGCAGGACTGCCGACGCATGACGGGCGGGGCCCAGCACGGCCTGACGCCAAACGGGACGCATGTGATACAATGCCTGGAGTGTTCGACGCCCGAGTGGCCAGCTACGTGAAAAACTTGCAGGTCCTGTACCAGATGACTAAGAAAGAAAAACACCGGCATGAACAGCGACTGCTGGCTGCGAGAGCGCACGCCATGTCGCTGAGCAAAGTGGCGCCTCCGCCACTACCAATACCGACGCAGAACTGCCTGACAATGGGCTGGGACCTAGTGGTCATGCTGCTCAAGGCTACACACAAGAACAACCCAGAACAATACGAACAAGCACTACAGATGGTGAAGGATAACCTCAAGCCGTTGAAACCGACAGCCTATTCGGACAGCATGTACCTCGCACCGTCGGCGTCGTCAGCATTCACTCTTTTAAGCGACTGTCTAGGCGACCTCGCCTATCCTGCAGCCGGTGGATCGACAGTAGAAGACGCTCACATTGGAGCACGTACGATCGAGACTCTGGCGGAGGTTGGACTTGCCCGGGGCTCACTTGCGACTATGCTCTTCGTGATATTGTGGCTTATGAAGCAGCAACCTACGAGCTCAGTGAATTTAGAAACGTCAATTAGTAAACTGGCCGCGCTTAAAGAGCAGCCCATGTACGGGAAATGTGAGGCTTCGGGGGAGCTCTATAGTTGTGGGCAGAACTCGTATGGAGAATTAGGAACAGGAGATGATATCGAGCGGCATCAGCTTACCAGTGTATCCCTTTGCGGATGGGACGACATTCGCCAAGTGGTTAGTGGCAACGAGACACTGGCTGTTCTTACGAACGGTGGAGTTGTGCTCACCTGTGGGCTCAACAAAAGCGGGCAGTGTGGTCAAGGACACTTTGATGAGCGCGTAATGATGCTGCGACCAGTGCAGGCTCTGCGTTCCCAGCGAGTGAAGTTTATTGCTGCGAGCAACGGATGTGAACACATGATCGCGCTGACAGACTCAGGGCTAGCGTATTCGTGGGGCTACAACGATCGAGGACAATTGGGCCATGAAAACCTGACGACCAAGATCCACGTCCCAAAGCTCATTGAGTCGCTAAAAGACAAGAAACTGAGATATGCCTCTGTGAGCTATCACCACAGTGCCGTGATCACGGACTCGGGTGAACTTTATACCTTTGGCATGAACGATTGTGGTCAGCTTGGACTCGACCACACACAGCACCAGACGACTCCGCAGCTTGTTAAGAGCCTTGAGGGGACGGAGGTATCCATGGTAGCGTGCGGATTGTACCACACAATCATTTGCACAGCCGCAGGGGGGCTGTACACCTGCGGCAAGAACGACTACGGACAGTTGGGTTTAGGCCACAATCGTCAGATTAAGATGGCTACCCTTGTGTCTGTTCCAAACGAAATGGTTTGCTTTCTTGCATGCGGGTACTACCACTCGATGATTGTTACCACTAGCGGCCGAACGTTTTCATTTGGGCGTAACGACTACGGGCAGCTAGGAATCGGAAACAAGGTCCATCAGAATGTGCTGAATGTCGTGGCATTGTCTGCCAACACAAGGATGGTTCGAGCAACGTGTGGATGTTACCACACTGTTCTCCTTTCTGAACAAGGGCAAGTATTCGTCTTCGGGCGAAACAACAAAGGGCAGCTTGGAAATCGCGGTAGTGCTGATGCTTTACTTCCAGTTCCTCTGAAAGTACGCCCCGAAAAGAATGCTCGTCGATGTGTGGACGTCGCTGCTGGTTTCTATACGACATCGTTGATTGTGGAGAGGAAACGAGAAAATGATGAAGGTGACTCCATTATGCTGGACCAATCTTGTGTCATTTCAGTGTGCGGTCGTGTTGATATCGACCGTTCAGGAGAGATCGAAGGTCTGAGTAACTTTGGCTCTATTTCCACGATAGGCGTGTCACTGTTCCAAGGGAAATGGTTTTACGAGGTAGAAGTGGTCACGAGTGGTTTGATCCAAGTTGGATGGATCGATGGCTACTTTCAGGGAAGCTCTGACCAGGGAGAAGGAGTCGGTGACCACGCTCACTCATGGTCTTATGATGGTAATCGCCAGCGACGTTGGAACAGTGGATCGTCCTCATACGGAGAGAAGTGGAGAGCTGGTGATATCATTGGATGTTTGCTCGACTTAACCACGCAGGAGATGACATTTTTCCGGAATGGGGTGAACCTGGGTGTGGCGTACTCCGAATTTAAGTGCTCTGTGGATGACAAACGATCAGGTATGATGCCTGGTATCAGCCTTGAGCGAGGCGAAATTATCCGAGTTAACCTGGGACACCAACCGTTTGCTTATCCTGCCGTTGGCCACGACTTTGAGAGCGTTTCGCGTGCAGTACGCATGCCTTCATCAAGTGCAGTGATTCAGCTCCCTGAAGATCAATTATCCGGACATAAAATGCTCCAACCTCCACCTCTTGAAGGATCCGCTTCCGTCTTGGTCGGCAATCAGTTATTTATTGTCGGCGGGATGATCGTCACCGAGTCTTCGTTACCCCAGCCAACTGAGCCAACGAATCAAGTGTGGATGTATGACACTGCAGCAAAGAGCTGGGAAAGATGGACCGATTTCCCTATTGGAATCTGCCACCATCAAGTTGTGGCAATTGACAACAATCAAATTCTTATTCTTGGTGGTGAGAAGGATTGTGCGGCGTCGCGGCACATGGATTTGTACAAGTGCTCTACTTTGAAAAATGCAGACGGCTCGCTACCGTCGTGGACGCTGATTCAAGCTGCAATTGGCGCAGCGACGGCTATGCCCCAAGCGCGTGCATTCCATACAGCCTCAACAATCCATGTTCGTCTTGACACCATCGTTTTCATGTATGGTGGCAAGTCGGTTGACAACGAGATTCTTGGAGACGTATGGTACTTATCACTCGATGATTATGCTTGGTCACGGCTGCCCAGTTCGATATCACTCGATCCTGGTCCACGAATCGGATGCTCCTCTGCTGTCATTGGAGAGTGCGTCTACATATTCGGCGGTCAAGACCGTGATGATAGGCTTCGATCCGATCTCTGGCGATATAACACATTTGATCGGCTCTGGCACTTGTGCTACGATGATAGCATTGGAGCTTTAGAACACGCTGCTGGAAGCTTAACAAGAAGCAATTCTCAGCCGATTGTCCCGGAGGGAAGAATGAGCTACAGTATGTGCTCAGACCTTGGCAACATTTGGGTATTTGGAGGCGTCAACCAAACAAATTCCTTCCTGCGTGATTTGTGGTGTTTCCCCGTGAATTCGCAAAAGTGGAACCAAGTTGAGGTGAATGCAGGAGACCTGGACGGATTTTGCTCGGCAGATATGTTTCTCCAGCAGGGTGCTGTAACTGCTTTGCCTAGTATGACTCATTTCGAGTCATCTACCCCTCATGATGGAGAGATGTTCCTTTTTGGAGGACGTGAAAGTGTTAAAGGAGAAGTGTCTAGTTACAGCAAAGTCCGAAAAGTGTGCTCCGGCAACACGTCAGGTTCGTATAATCTTGATATGACGAAAAACATGTCGACAACTGGGAAGGCAGGGAATGTACTCAATGCACTTCGCGCGAGATGTGGAGCGGCCAACAGAACAACACAGCAATGTGCAGCGGAGGCTCTAGACTCTGCTGTATGCTTGCTATCCCATCTTGATCGTTTAGCTGGAAACGATATCCCAGCAGAAGAAGCTGATTCCGTTCAACTGTCACGGTGTCTATATCGATCGCTCTGTATAGACCCGAAAGAAACAACTTTTTCTGCGTTGTTTGCACTGCTGGAAGACGTAACTACTCGCTTCTTTGGCATTGATGTACTCGATGAACAATCCAACTCGGCATCACAGGTAACTCACATCTTGTATCCGTTGCTCGTCACGATACGACTGCTCAAGCTAAACTTCTTCGAGGTGCGAACACGAGTGCTTTTTTGCATGGCATATACCGGCCTTTTTTTTTTTTTTTTAATATCTTGCCATTTTATGCTTTGACTATTATTTAGTTTGCGCGCAGTTGTTTGGATGGATCCGAAATAGGTTTACCAGCAGCAGCAAATCAAGCTGGGGGAGTTCTTTGTTCGATTCGAGAGATGCTCTTCACGATTGCGGACTACGTACCAAAGACAACGATGTCGGGGGAAGTGCTATGGTTTTATCACGCGGTAAAGCAGGAAACCGCCCTGGCAATTTATCACGGATTCCCCACGCTGTTCCCATCCCTGTTGGATCGATTGCAAATCATGAACCGCCTGATGGTAAACAAACCTAACTTTGAAGCGGAGTTGACCCCAGCGCAGAAGCTGTTGATTCCAAAGCTTGTACCGTGCTTCACGTCGGCAAAGATGCTATTCCAGCTGATAAGCGACCCTAACGTGCTCTTCAAGGTGGATGGTTTATCCGACGACGTTGTTTCTGAAAGTGTGATCACTTTCATGGGTACTTTATTGGATTCACTTTGGGTGCAGACGAAGGATGCGATGGAGCGCTGTGCTGAAGATACGACTAAGCTCATGAAGAGCTTCGATGCTATTGAAACTAGCCACGAATTTAACTGTCTCAACATCATGCTACGCGCAGCAATATTCTGGTGTTCGTGCTCTACCAGTCGGGGATGGGTGATTATTGAATCGGTATGCACTAAGGTGGTGGACTTTGTCTCGGAGTGTCTAAACCAATGCAGTACGATGAAACACGACCAGAACCAACTTCTTCCCGTTGTCATTCAGCGCAGTTTTTCGGGAAAACTGCTGCCATTTATGCTGCTGAGCGTGTTTTCGCTACCTTCCGTTCGCGACGCACTCCCTGGTTTACTGGACCCATTTTGGCCTCGGTTAGAAGCTCTCTCGGTAAAACTTCACATAGCGCTTGCGACACTGAGTAAACAAGGTCATTTGCAGCCGACTACTGTAGCTGTGGATACACGAACTGCTTTAGGTAGCAATGCTGAAACTGACTTCGTAGATACGGCGCTTGCTTCCATGTCAAAAGAACTCTCGACATGTCTGTTGAACCAGAGTACCGGGTCTTCCGTCACGTATGGTCAAATCTTTAAAAACTTGTGGGACAAGATTGTCCACGCAAAAGGTTACACGTCTCGGAAAGTAAAGGAACTACCACAGGACGTGGAAATACGGCGGGTAACAATTCCTTTGGACCTTGCAAAGCTGTTTGGAACTGAAACATTGCTCGTGAAAGTCCAAACGGCTGGAAGTGGACCTGTATTGGAATATGAGCCTCGGAAAGTCTCCTTCCTGCCCAGTCGGACTATTCTCTCGCAACATTTGTATCCTGTTAGTGAAAATGCACTACCTGCTCCAGGAGATGAAGCAACTGTAGGACTACCCCTTGCCCCACAGTCGCTTATAGAGTCTTCTCTTCCGAGTGCTCAGTATTCGGACAAGGCCATTGAAGACAGTCACGAGTGGCTTAAGGACCTCCAAAAAGTGATAGTCTGGGTGGGGAGTCACTACGCTGCTACGTTGATACTCGGTGGTGAGTTGGATGGTGGCGTTGTCAGCGAGAAGTGGTTGCAAGCTTCTCTATTCCGAGGTGGATTGGATGAAACATGGCCTGCTACGGATACGACAAGGAGTGAGGTGGGTAGGAACGAAACCCTCCTTCTACAGGTGATTGAAAACGTCGGCAATGGTAAAAAGCTCTTGGACAAAGTGCGTAATGCGTTGGATCCTGGATCGGCTCCAGGCGGTGGAAATCCTCAGTTCCGAATAGCGAGGCTAAAGAGACAAGATAGTGTGGAGGCGCAACTAGAAAAGAGTGGCAGTATTGAGGCAGTGGACCGTGCTGTCCGTGCAACTTTTGCTGCTCTCTTGAAACATACAAATATCTCTTACACGACGGAACCCATTTCAAACCAAGGGACACTAGCTGAAACGGTGGTTGATGCTTGGAAGGCAGCGCTACAACTGCGTCGCTGGTAAAAGCTCACGTGTATTTTGTGGTTTGCCTTAATTTCTGACTTGTTCTAATGTGCCATTATTGTTTTGTGTTTAGGATCGTGAGAGAACAGCAGAAACTGGCTGCAGCTGTTAGGTAAGCTAGAATATTGCCAGCTCCGCAATTCATTGGGCTTTTGCTGAGTTATCAATGCTGGTATTGCAGTGAGGCAGGGGCTCCTAGCGGCATTTCTCCTGACATGGGGGTAAAGGAACGACAACAGGCACTATATAACGCCGTATGCGAGCCAATCATCCGCAGAGCTCTTCTTCTACTACAGTTATCACCTGTGCCAATCCAATTTACCCCACCAGCATCTTCGCCAATGAGGCTTCTGCCCGGTATTTCTATGGCAACAACTTACGGTAAGACATCAGCTTTGCTTTGTCAACTGTATGCAACTAATATAAACTCGATAAAAAAATTGAACGACAGATTTCGCGAAATCTTCTCAGACCGAGCCAGCTGCAACTCCAGACAAAGAACCCGAGCAAAAGCGCTTCACTCGCCAGCTAAATAAACTGATGGAAACGAAGTCGGTTGAAGTCATGGAGGAAGAGGATGAGCAGATCCACGCCGATATTTTCTCGTTCATTCAGCAGTCAAGCACTAACCTGGTAGTTCCCACTCGAGATTCTGAAGTCCCGTCTCGACATCCAGAAGATCAGATGCGAGAAATCTTGCTTGCACACCAGAAGCGCGCAAAAATGCGTTTACAAGGTCTCAAAACGTTCGTTCGTTTGCTTCAGTGCACCGAAAATATCCCCAGCTCGCGGCTCCACGTTATTCCGATGTTGTCTTCGGCCTTTAAGCGTGTACGCACGACTCATGGGAAGATGTCAGGACAAATTTCAACCATCAAAGTGCACTATCTCGTTGATCTGGAGTTTGCTGGACAACAACTTTCTCATACCATTGGACAAGAATTTTTCCACTTGTTGACTATTCTTCTTGAGTCATCAATGGATCATCTTCGTCAAGTTCAGCAGCTCATCGATGCTGGAAGTGGTGAGATAAGCGACACGAAGACAGCGGGAGCCTCCATTCATCTTGCAGTAAACGATATGTTACTTGTGTTGGAGACTTGCTGCTTTCCCTACAAAGGACAAGATTGGGATCACCTACAGCGAACTAATTTGGTCTCGTTGTTAACAGATTTGACAAGTTGGAAGGGATGGCAGACTTTTATTCAGTATGATGCATCCGACAACTCAACAACTGATGTTGATAGCACCGAGAAGTATACCATACTTTCTGCGGCGACGGGATCCAAGTATCCAAACATTATCTGCTCGCGTTATATCACACTCGGATCTGATCTCCGTAAGCTGACGATTGCCCACAAGAGCCTGGATAGAAGTGATCTGGGTACAGGAAGCTCGAGTGTATCCCAGGACAATGGCGGTCTTGCAGTGTTCGACAAAAATTTCTACAGAGGCCGTTGGTATTGGGAGGTATCAATTCGTGATCTTGGTGATACCCCTGTATTTGTTGGCGTCACCCCTGGTACAACAGATCTTAACGCGTACATTCCAGGTGATGCAAGTCTCTGTGGCGTACTGCTGTACCGCGAAGGATATAGTGGGGGCATGCTTGGATCGGCTGGTATCCGCTGGAATCGCAATGACGTGCTTGGAGTTCTGTTGAATAGTGAAGAGCGACAATTGGAGTTCTACAATGGAGCAAATAGGTGCTATGTGGCCACGTTAACGCCAAGTGATTTAGCCGGATGTGGTTACTTCCCGGCGATTGGTGTGAGTGGTGCAGATGTGCATTGGAATCTCATGGCTACCGTCCCGCCAAAACTATGGTGTGCTAGTTCGAATTTCCAATTCTCCAATTCGATCGTCACTAGAGGGCTTGTTGCAACTCCATTTGACGGAGCGACTATAAGTTGGAATGGAAAACACAAGGGAGGTCGTCTACAACTCATGCCGAACGGAACAACTGTATGTGCAGGAGACTGCAGCTCGTCCGACGATCAGTTCGAGACTATTGTTGCAAGCCAGGGCTTCGAAAATGAAAGCATTTTCGCTGAGATTCGAGTGATAACAGCAGGGAAAAATGGACGCGCAGCTCTTAGCTTCTGTATTGTTGACAACGACTTCTCTGCCTTTGATTCGCCGCTGAAACAGACGTTAGACGTGAAGTGGAAGAGCGCAGAGGAGGTGTTGGAGTTGGGCATCCTTGGGGTCTTATTTGATTTTGAAAAAGCCACCGCAACATTGTACTCCGATCGCTCGGAACCGGAAGTATGCCAGTTTAACCTTGCATCGCTAAACAAACCCTTCTATCCTGCAGTATCGGCACTCTGCAATGGAACAGTCTTCGACGTGAACTTCCACTCGCAGCCTCGTCTTGAGTTGCCATCTCACGTATTTTACCCGGCTACGAAGCTCCAGAACCAGCTTATGTCTTCATCGAACGAGCTACAACTTGGAAAGAGCTTGCAGCTTCAACTGCTTTCATGTGACGGTGGAGAGTTTAGCAGTTCTCATGCTGCCTGCAACTGTCTGGTTGATGACACGACGGTGTACAGCTCCGCAAAGGGAACAAACGTAAACCTGGTGCTGAAACATGAGATTGATACGCCGATGTGTGTTAGTTACGTCAACATCCGAGGCCCTGGACAAGGTTACTCGAGTCCCCTACGTTATGCCGTTGTATTTGTCACCAGTACTCCTCCTGAGCTTGCAAGCTTTCAGGAATTTGACAACATGACCCCGGAACAATTCGCTGCTTTGCCGTTCCCTCCGAGTAATGGATGCTGCCCTCGCGATGAGAGCTTACCAGTTGCATTCGTTGTACTGGACGGAAGCTGCGCGCAAATTTCGAAACAACTCGCGTACCCGGTTGCTGGTCGGTATATCATCGTGAAAGCGATTTGTCCGTCGGCTGGCACCAATATCGATATCGGATACATTGCATTCTGTGGCATATTCGATCGCGACAATGGGCCGGCGTACAGTGAGACTACAGCAGTTTCCTATAGTTGCGAGGAATGCAAGAGGATGCCGCTGTCCGGAATACATTACGGACAACAAGATGATGACGGCATCAGGCTGTGTGCTGCGTGCTATGACGACAACCGAGGTGATCTAGATTGTGCTTATAACGTTTATACTTGCAGTGAATCTGAGGAGGACCAGATAGCTGCAAACACGGTGCTGTGCCCACCGCGACGGTCGTGGAATGACAAGATCGCAGCACTAAGTGACGTCTTTAGCAAGTCTACAATGTCAAATGCAGCGAGAGACAGAAACACGGCAGCAGGTCAAACTGGAAGATCAGAAAGCCTCCTTAGTGTGGCTAGCTTCGAAGAGTGCGAATTATTTTCGTGCGGGCAAAACAACTACGGAGAACTTTGCTTGGGGCACTGCAACTCAACCAGCAAGTTGGAGCACGTGCCGTTCTTCTCTGCAAAGGGCATTCGTGACATTGCCGGAGGAAATGAAGTGCTAGCTGTAGTGACGACAGACGGTACTGTATTCACTTGCGGTCTCAACAAAAGCGGCCAATGTGGCAACGGTACGTTTGAGGAGCGGGTGATTATCGCCACCCCGGTTCGCGCATTGAGTGGAATCACTATTAATATGGTTGCTGCGGCAAATGGATGCGAGCACATGCTTGCGGTTGCCTCTGATGGCGCTGTCTTCTCTTGGGGATACAATGATCGTGGTCAACTAGGGCTTGGTTCGACGATTTCGAAGAGTCATACGCCTCGAATGATCGACAGCTTGAGAGAAAAGTATCATATAACAACAGCAGCGGTGAGCTACCACCACAGTGCAGTAGTGTCAAGTAATGGTGAGCTACTCACGTTTGGTATGAACGACTGTGGTCAACTGGGTCTTGATCACACACAACACCAGCATACTCCTCAATTGGTCGAAGCGTTGTCAAGCCAGGTTGTTACAAAAGTCGCGTGTGGATTGTATCATACAATCGCAGTTACTAGTGGCGGTGAGGTTTACTCTTTCGGTAAAAACGATTATGGGCAGTTGGCCCTTGGTCATGCTCGCAATATGAAGGCACCAACGCTTGTGAAGACTTCACTTGGAGAAAGCGATGAGAAGATTGTCGCTGTAAGTTGTGGCTACTATCACACTGTGACGATCAGTGAGAAAGGTAAGCTCATTACATGGGGAAGGAATGACTATGGACAGCTCGGCATCGGAAGCAAAGAACACAAGAATAGTGCGCAGTTCGTGCCACTGCCGCTGTCATCAAAGATCAAGACAGCGTCATGTGGTTGCTACCACACACTCATTCTGATGGCAAATGGACGGGTAATGGTATTTGGACGTAACAACAAGGGCCAACTCGGAGCTGGATCAAGGACACTCCCATCTGCAGATTTGCCTCTACCAGTTCCTTCCAACTCGTTGGCAAACGATGAAGTGGTTCGTATAGCGGCTGGGTTTTACAGCTCTTACATCCTTACAGGTCGATCAGGCGACAGTCCTGGCCTTGACGGAACACCTGATGATGCGAATCAGGCTAAAGACCTCCCGGAGAATAGCTGTCTGGCAAACTCAGATGCACTTTTCGAGTCGCTAATGAAAGAGATTGACTCCAAGTACGTCACCGATGCCGCACCAAAGCGTGCATCACTCCAACATAAGCGTGGGTATCCACAGCGCAAGCTACCACTCGTGAAGCTGCACGCCGCTGGATGGGCAATGGCCCGCGCTCTGATGTATCGATCTCTTCAGGATGCAGATGACAAGATCTCGAATCGTTTGAGTGGACGTGTGAATCCAGTGCTGGCAATGTTTATCAGCTTTCTGCTGGAAAATCTGAAACTGTTGCAAGGCGATACTAGCACTGTCGAAGCTTTGACGACGACAGGAACTCACGAATTGGGTGGAAGCGTCTCGTTAAAGCGAGTATGCGTTGGCCTACTCCAATACTTCGGAGGTAAATTTGCTGTACCTACACCAACGGCTGGACCAGTAGGACTGACATTGGACAATCTTCACGGTCATTTATACAGGAACCAAATTCTAAGTGTGCTCCTTGCATGTGGCTCTGCGAACACTAAGGTTGGCTCCACTATTGCTGCGAATCCTGTGGTTACAGCTCACATTATCAGCGGAATGAGTTCTTCTGACTTAGCATCGGCAACGATGTGCATTCGACTAGCAATGCTGGTGTTCCCACACCACTCCGTGTCTGCGCTCAACACGATCTACCGATCTCAACAGTCTGCTCCTGTATTCTCTGGAGATATTCTGTCCATGCTGATGACACTGGTGGGGCTTCCAATGCTCCTTCGCCCGCGACTATGCTCGCATGAGCTAGGTTTGGAGTGCTCGAGCACAGCACTGTGCCAGTCAGCTTGCTGTCTGAAGGGAATAACAGTGACGAAGGACTCAGGAATTTCGCACATGCAACAAGTTGTGCTGGAAAAGGCTCACGTTGCCGATTCGAAAGCGGCTGAAGTTGTGGCGTTGCTGCGGTATCTCACATTTTATCCAACGTGGAAAGTAGCGATCAACGCCGCCATTACTCGAGGTTTCGCTAAGTCAAACAAGGTTGGAGAGTTGCTGGATGCCATTTGCGCATATTACACTAACGTTCAGCAAGCAAACATTGCGGATCTTAAAGCAGCAGTGCTAGGTGGTCTTGCCGGAGAGAAGAATGCTACGGCATTGAGAAAGCCTGAATCGACTTCTTTGTCACCCGAAACGGACGAGCCGGTCAACAACACAGTGGAGAGTAACACGCAATCTGATGAATCGGAGTCTACCAGTCGAGACAAACAGTCTTTAATGCTGTGGCAAAAGGCAAAGGACGCCTTGAATGGGTTGGCGACGATTATAGCTGCAGTAAGTATCGTCGGTGGGCATGTAGAAGGCTTCAGGGAAGGCGGATGCGTGACTATTGAAGACGATGGCACCCAGGGTTCGAGTAGACTAGGTGTACTGTCAGGGGTTATGAGAGATCCACGCACTGCTGACTTATTGGCCAAGGTCGTCGTTAGTTCCAGTACTGAAGGTCCGGTTTCACCTTTGATTGCAGCAGATGCACGAGCCCAGTCGTTCCCATTATCAAAACTTCAAGTAGTGGAGCGCATCCCAGCACTTGTCGACATGTTTGGCGATGTTGACAGCATTATTACGACACTATCGTCGATAGTTTCCGAGGTTTTAACGGTTGATAAGGAGTGTGCCACGCACTGTGATATCGATTTGCCGCAAAACAGCTCCGTCCAGGAGGTATTGCGGAACCGACTCAAGGTGTACAAGCAACAAATACGGTGGAGATCAGCAAAGGCGTTATCATCCTTACTGAAACAGATCCCGACTCTCAGTCCAACGCTGATAAGTATGGACTCACAACTCATATCAAGCCTGGCCACGTTGCTATCATCAGAGAATTCGCTGTCATGGGTCAGCAAATCCGAGATACCAGGACTAGAAACTGCAACTGCACTTCAGAAACGATGGATTTGTGTGAAGCAGCGCAAAGTTTTCTTAGATACAGAGGATGTTATCGACACTGCACTGGATTATTACGAGGCCAAAATGCGCAACGAAGTTGTTCAAAAACTGGGAAGTGAAAATGCTCTAAGCTGGGGAATGGATGCCATCCAGTCGCCTCGACGAAAGGTGACTCATCCTTCGTTTGCTGGCTCTGGTTTCGGTGAAAATGGGCGGGCTAAACAGCGATCTACTGATGGAGACCTGCCGTTTGGCACCTGGGGTGTTTTACTCCCCCTCCCACCGCTGAATGAGAACGAGCATACGGTTGGTCCGGGAAGTTCAGCGATCGACTACACTCCATTCCCTCTCACTGCGCCTATCATCAGGGTTGGTCGCGCTGCTGATGCTTGTGATCTTATTGTTAACGACCGAAGTGTCAGTGGGCGGCATTTCCATTTACGTCGCTTGCGACGTGAAGCTGAAGGAGGTGAAACGCAGTTTGAGCTTCAGGACTTCAGCAAGAACGGTACTGTCGTGAATGGTGTGAGGATCCACGGATCTACTACTCGAATCACGTCGGGATCTCGGATTTCCTTGATCTTATCACGTGGTGGATTGGTGACTTATGAGTTCCAGGTTCGGACTTCGGGTGGAAACACTGGAAGTCGTAACGCACCGCCTCATATTGTCACTGCGCCACAGAACTCAGGCGACTTGAACATCTCAATTCCTGGTCAGGAATACCAGCAACCACAGGCTGGTACGTCCCAGATCGTACCGAGGAGCCCAGCAGAATTGCAAAATCGTGGGATTCGCGGAAGTTCTATTCCCACGGAGGTTCCCGCTGATAACCGAAGCCGTCAAGCAGTAACACAAGGCTTACGTGTCATCACGTCTGTAGCAGAAAGCGACGTTCCTCGAGCGCTGCTCTCACCGAATCCTGCTGTGGATTCCCCTCGAGCTGGTGGGTATTCCTCTCCTCGGTCCTCGGTTCTTCAGGCCCCAGGTACCCCTTCTGTGGGGCCCCTTACTCCAAGCATGTTTTCCAGTATGATACCTCCAGCCATTCTTTCTCCTGCGTCCTACCAGCAGCGTGAAAGCGTTGCACCAAACGAGAACACAGGCCTCACATCCCCTCAAGGAGGCGTTGGATCAATGCTTCGTATTGCTCTGGGCCGTGACAGTGTAAATCGAGAATCATCTTCACAGCGGAGTGGTATTCCGAGCGAACTTGCCAAGACTCGAGTTTTACGCTCAAGCGGTCAGACCGGCTTAGCCGCGCGTTCGGTATGCTACTCACGTTTGTTTTTTGAGCCTTTCTATGAGGTCTAATCTGTTATTCGTATACAGAATGCCACCCCAGCCCAGGAGATGCAGGTACTTACCCTGCGTTTACTTGCCCGGACTCAAGAAGCAAACCTTGTTGTCAGTGCTACTGAGTGCGAGGAAGCACTTCAGGTGGCAGCGGGCAACATGGATGAGGCATTCGCAACAATTCAACGAAGTCGCGGATCTAACCCGGTAAGTGGAATTGTGAATAATGTATTCTTCATGTTGTTCTAGCACATTACGCTAACAGGTGATCTTTCAAATACCCTATAGCGCATGTATCCTTCAAGCGTGCGTCACTTGGCGATGGTGCTCGGACGAAGTGAACCAGTGTGTTCTGAAGCGCTGCGTCAGACCGATGGCAGTTTTGGCGATGCACTGCGCTTACTTATGTCAACTAGAAAAATTGATCTGGAAAAAACGTTGTCTCCCAGATATGTTGATGCCGACGTACTCAACGATGGGAATCTTCAATCTAGCGAACCACTGGAAAATTTACAGGACCTTGGCGACGAGAATCCAAGCTACGCTCTGACAGAGTCCAGTGCGTTACGCCCACCAGTACCCCCACGCCTTGCAGCAAGAGGGAATGGAAGTCCTGTTAAGACGAAGAAGATGGAACACACGGGGAATATGGATACGTTACAACCAAAATCGGATCTGACACTCTGGAGTGAATGCAACAGCAGCTTTGATGAAGGAGTTCGGCAGATGAATTCTTTTGAAGTCGAAGTGGAGGAGGAAGTACTCTGCGAGCGTCTTGCCGCCATTCATGCGCGCAAGATCCTTCTTCAGATAGTGAGGCTGTACACTCACGCATCGCAAACCGAGGAAGCCCCACTTAGCGAACTGACCAATCCTCTGGTTCTTCGTTCCTTGATATCAATTCTGAGCGTACCTGAGCAGGCTAACGCAAGTTCATCGTACGAATTGGAATATCAGTTGCACCAGCAGCCAAAGGCTAAAAAGAGTGGAAAGATCCAGCAGATACTGTCTCGTATGGCTCACGACATGATGGCGCGCTCCCCTACAGAGACGTTGGCAAAGAATTTCAGTTCGTCCCAGAACTTATCAACTCTCCAAAGATCAATTGACCAGGTGACCGAGCAACCTACTAAGATAGGGTGGACTGGCATCACGAGGCTCATCGAATCTCTCGTCGAGAACGAGCAAGTTAGAGGAGAAGACGTTAACGACCAGGATCCTCTGAACACGTTAGAGAATATCACGTTTGAGACGATTCTACACATTCTTTCGCGCACGTATGCAACTCCAATGACAGCACCGAGTTGGGACAGCTCGCCTCTTCGAACGCGCAAAGCTGATGGGTGTTTCCCGAAAGGCCCAATGCGGCTTTCATGCGGTCTGGAGGTTGTGGTGGTTGACACCTATGAGCGTCTGTGGAGTATCCCCCCGCCTGATCCACTATTGAAACACCGTCACAAATGGCGAAAGCGGTTCTCTTCTACTGCGGAGAACGGGTGGATGAAGTCTGCAGCAGATTACGCGGTGACAATTTGGCGGCCGATACTACCACCAGCGATGGAATCTGCTTCATCAGCTAGTAAGTGGTTTTGTCTTGGTGACGTTGCTAAATGCAGTAACGGTGCTCCGAATGCTCCAATGCTTCTGGTCAGTGACGGTGACAACCAAGGCTTATTGGTGCCTCCAGTAAGTTTTGAACGAGTGGATATCACTGGGAAAGGTCTGCCCAGAAACTCTGAGAGCGATCCAGATTTCCAACGCAAGCAGCTTCGCTCGATTTGGTGGCCTGTTGCACCGTCCGGATACGTGTCTTTAGGCTGCATAGCTGGAAGCAAAGAAGATCCTTTTGAACCTCCAGATGTATCTAGCACACGCTGCGTACGCGAAGATATCGTGAAACGAGTTGAGGGTTTCCACTGCGTGTGGCGCGCAGATTCTCCAGCTGCCACTGGAGGTGGAGGAGTGGAGCTTCTCACTACTATTGAGGTCGAAAATGATGAGGAGAATGCAGGCGGAGAAAGCGATGCTCAGCGTAACCATAGCACCAAGAACCAGTCTACTGACGCGTCCAGGCTACAGCTGCTGCTTCCTGTTGCTGACGATGTAGTCGTTCAGACATCTCTTTGGGCTGTGGACTCAGACTTCAGCTGTGGTTTACTTCTTCCAGTGGTCACGTTAAACGATGCAAGCGCAAATGAGCCCAGCACTGCGTTTGCTCTTAATCTCTCGGACGATGACCTGGTGTTGTGTGCTCCTGTAAGTGTGGACAACGTACTCGTATTCCTTGAGATTTTGCTGCAGTATCAGCAGTTACTATCAAGCAAGCAGGAAGACAAGCAACGGATGTCGACTCAATTGCGTTCGGAACTACCTGCTGCATTATTCGCTCTGATTCAACAAGTATTACGCGAAAATCAACCGTCCAGTGGGAAAGCTGCAGTGTCGCTTGTGCGCGCTCTTATTACTGTGATTCAGCGTGGCGCGCACTGGTATGACAAGCAAGCGCTTCTTTACTGTCGTTCCAAGATCATGGCATTAAGTCAAGATCAAGATGGAGGATTCACGCTTCATGCTTTACTACAAGCTTTCGTGGAGTTAATGCTCGCTGTTGAGGATCAACAACACACTCAGCGAGTACAAGAACTTGCTGCTTGCTTGGATCGCGACAGCGGGAACGCGTTGAGTCTACCATATCGATTCCACTTTGCCAAACAACCTTTCGTGGAGATGTTGGTTAGCCACTCGTCAAAGATGGCAGTCACACGGCATTTGTCCGGAGAAGAGCGCAAGTTTCTGCTGGATTATCACGCTGAAGATAGCAGTAATCGTGACGCACTGGCAGTTGAGGGTCTGGGCGCCCCACCAGGGGAAGTGTATTCCTGCCGCTTTGAACACACGCCAGCTCTCGTCATGACTATGAGAGACGAGGTGAAAGCTGAACTTGTGTACTTCGAAGTCGGTGTGATGGAGTGGAGTACGAATTCCAGTATGGGAGGTTCACTTGCGCTGGGATTTTCGCCACCGTCATTCCCGCTGGAAGGAGTGCTAGTGGGTGGTAGTGAAGACGGCTCACGGTCATATTCGTTTGCACCGGCGAGTGGTCAAGTGCTGTGTGCTGGTGATACTGCTGTGGATCGTTGGCGATGGATTGAACCCGTTGGTGCTGTGAGTCCTGGAGATGTTTTTGGTTGTGGCTTACGACTTGATACACAGGAGATTTTCTTCTGTAAGAATGGGCAGCTGCTAGGAACGGCCTTCTCGAGTATATCACGTCCTCAACAGCTACACCCTACGATATCTTTCAACGCAGATTGCAAACTACTCGCCAATCTTGGAGCTACGACCGCAACACCAGCTAAACATGCCAACTTCAGCTTCAGATTTCATTCACTTGACTGCGACAATCTTATGAGCGCGTTTGAGTGGTTCGAACCACTGAGTCAAGTTTACGGTGTGATGAAGGCGCTAATGGATCCAGAGAGACCGGACGACGTGAATGTTAGCGACGGGCCAACCGATGAATCAACTGACGCTGCTGTTGTGGCCCAACTTCCTGATGAGTTCATGCTTTCAGCTGACAATTTCTTGTCAGATATCTCGGAAGATGTCTGTATCCGAGTGGAGAGTGCACACCCATACGATCTTGAGCTACAAGAGTCTCTTGTTAGCATTCCGTTAGCTACAAGTATTCGAGTCCGTCTGGATCCTCAAAGTGAGACCGCCAGTTCCCACTGCTTGCAGATTTTACAAGGGGGAAGTACAGAAGGTGAATGTACAACGACTGGAGAAGCGGAGGTTCGAGCATTTACGGGAGTTTGTGGAAGTCAAGAAGTCACGATTGATGGCGACAGTTTTGTGTGGCGATTCCCGGTGCAGTCAAACTTCCAGTGTCGTGTGGACCGTGTACGCAAAGGACCATACCTTAAACTTGAAGCACGAGACACACGGCTGTCACTGGTGAGAGATAAGGGCTGGCAAACAGCTATCGGTGTTGCTCGATTCGACGGGGGAATTCACATTTGGGAGGTGCGCATCTCTTTCGTGACTGCTAGCTCAAATATTTTCCTTGGAATCGGTCGTCGAGATGTTCGCTTGGACTCCTACTTAGGCAAGGATAACCGAGGCTGGGGCTGGATCGGAAATCGTGCACTTTGGCACAATGGCAGCAAACAACGCGGTACATATGGTGACAAGTTTAAGACGGGAGATATTGTCCGACTTACTCTGGATCTACGTCGCGGTACACTCAGTTACGCGCTGAACGGGAAGGATCTCGGTGTTGCGTTTGGTCCTGGTGGTACTGGTCCTAAGCTTGAGGGCACGTTCTACCCTGCCTTCGCACTGTACAATCAACGCGACTCGATTGATTTGATCGGTGGACATCGTGTTGAGGATGGAGGACTGGAGCCAGGACTCTCTCGAACGGGTAGTGGACTGGCCAGCGGGGACGATTCCTACTACAGCGAAGAAGAAGAAGAAGATCTCGGAGGCTTAGTAAGTGATGAAGGAGATGGCTCGATACCGAACTTCCGTATGGAGTTGGCCATTGCGCTTAGTCAAATGGGGTTCCCTATGGAATGGTGCCTCTACGCTTTACGTCATTGTGAAGACGATGCGGAGCAGGCTGCAGATTATATTCTTGCCAATATGCATGCGATCGAATCGCTTGTTCGTGAAGAAAATGAGACAATGGCGCGTCGCACAAGACATCGCCAGTTACTGCATGAGCAGGCCTTAGCGCTGTCTGAACGTGACGGATTAGATACTTCACTACCACCTCCACCACCTATCGACGAAGATATCGACGGAGTTCGACCCCCAGAAGACGTAGCGTCTACAGGTGACGAGTCACCTCCGCAGCAACAACAGTCAACAGGGGACACGAAATGGGGTATGGCATTCACAGCTGTACCCGAATTCTCAGTTACTGGACGCCGTCTACTGGCAACCAAATACGGTCCCAAGCTGCATCGCCTTCATGCTTCACAGCGAGTATTTACTCCAGCACGTGATCGCGCTCTCGTGCAGCTGGTAAACGCGATCTGCGAGTCACGTGCTGAGGCTTTGCTAAGTTGCGATCCTCTCCGCATGACACCAGAGGAATTCGTCCCAACAGAAGAGCAGATCCACCGATTCCAGTCTCTGCGGGGTGTCTCTCTCGAAGCGCTCCAGCGCCGCTTTTTGGTATTGCGGAACTTCAATTGTCGGCTACAGACATCGCTGGCTTTCATCGATTTCTCGGCTGCCGACGAACGCTCTCTTCTAGCGAGAGGAGCACGGGAACTTCGTGGAGTGGTCTTCCAACACGTGAAGCTTGCATGGTGGCTTGGCGTCTTGAAAGAGCAGCAGGCACCAGCTGCAGCTCGTCCAGAAATTGAGGTCGACCGCCATCGGGCACATGAAGCCCTTGAGCTTTCGGAGCGTGGTGATCCTCTTGCAAGTGAAGTTGGTGAGCGAGATAGTGTGTTTGCACAGACGTTTGAACAACTACATGGACTGCAACCGGCGCTGTTACGAGGTGCTGACAGGGCATTCAAGTGCCAATTTGTGGGCGAGTTCGGCGACGACTTTGGTGGCTTGTACCGCGAATGTTTAGCGCAACTAAGTTCCGAACTACAGACTTTCACGCCATTGCTGCCTGTGCTACGACCATGCCCCAACGCATTAATGAGTACAGGTGAAAATCGTGAGCTCTTCGTGCCGAACTCGCACTTACGCACACATCCAAGACGTGTGCAGATGGCTGAGTTTCTCGGTAAACTTGCGGGCGTGGCTGTGCGAACTAAAACGCCACTTGATCTGAATCTCCCGCCGGCTGTATGGAAGCTGCTAGTGGGGCAACGGGTGACGCGCCACGATATTGAAGCCATTCATCAAGGATGTTTCCAGGTTGTGGACACTATTGCCAGCTTGGATGCTCATGGTATCACTGAGGAAATGTTTGATGACCTTGTGGACGCGAACTTCACTGTATTGTCAAGCACGCGGGAGACTGTGGAGCTAGTGCCGGGTGGAAAACACTTGCATGTGACGTGGGGAGATCGAGAGGAATACGCGAGCGCTGTGGAAACTTATCGTCTGACTGAGTTCGCGCCGGTGTGTGGTGATATCTCACGTGGTGTGGGGACTATCCTACCGGCACCAACGCTTGGTATTTTCTCGTGGCATGAGCTCCGGACTCTGATTTGCGGTAAACCCACTGTTGATATAGTTCTCCTACGCCGACGGACGATATATGGCGACGGCTGCCAAGCAACAGATCCACACATCGCATACTTCTGGGACGTCTTGGCTGAATTCACGGATGAACAGAAGTCGTCATTCCTGCGATTCGTCTGGTAAGTTTCCATCTATTGTTCCAGATAGTGAAGTGTTCTAATATGTTGTCATCATTTGCAGGGGAAGATCACGGTTGCCTACGCATGCTGCGGACTTCACCCAGGACTTCAAGATCTCAGGGTTACCCAAAGCTACAGGTCGTGCCGACATGTACCTGCCTATTGCCCACACTTGTAAGTTTGATGTGAGCTGTCAACCTGTTAGATAACGTCATCACTGACAATTTTGAATGTCTTACAGGCTTTTTTTCAATCGATCTTCCTGCTTACTCGTGCAGAGAGGTCATGCGTGACAAGCTAGTATATGCCATCACTCACTGCCAGTCCATTGATGCGGACAACACGACTGTAGCTCAACGAGCTGGCCAGGGAATCAACTGGACCAATACTGCAGCCACAGCTACAGCTACCGCATCTGCCGCTGTTTCCGGTGTCATCGCTGGAGTGACTTCGGGTACTGGAGAGTGAGCCCGATTGATCATTGAAATACGTATGCATATTTTTTTTTATATTGAATCCATTAGCTCCTTACCTTACGAAGCTTCTTTTTCAGCTGAGTTTTGGTCCTTTTTCTTCTTCGATTCTTTCTTGCGAGTGATTCGAGTAGGAACAGCTCGCTCAAACGCACGCCCCCAGTCTCCATGATTTGCGACCTCATTCAACACAATAAGAACAGAGTCCAGATTCATGATATGAGTTCGCACGCGTGTCCCCAATTGTTCATAGTGCTCTTGAAGTGGCAGTCGCGCAGTGCGAATGCCACGCGTAGCCGCCTTCGTTTTTGTCTCGCCCTGTTTGAATCGCCGGTGTTAGCCAAAGTTGTGTCATGGAAGCGACAAGCAACCTCACCTTGCGAACAGAACGATCGACGATACCACCGACGACGTAGGCGTAGGCTGGATCAAGTTGCTCAAGCACATTGTCTGAGTCTGGTGAAAGGTAGACAAGCTTATCACTGTCGTAAAGATGCTCCAGCGGTTCTTCATGTCTTCCCATCTATCAAACGACATGTGCGATCAGTATTAAAAATCACTTTTACATTTCTAAAACGCTAGATGCACATGGTACAGCACCTTCCAGCTAGGCACTCCGTGCTGAGTGAAGATGACGGCAAGCTCTGGTGTGCAAGATGCGAGGTGTAGCGATATCAACCTGTCCAGCTGACAAGTCTTCAGGTATCCATATACACACCCGAGCTGCTTGAATATGCTGTGACGCTCCTTCAACAGCAAAACACGACGTGTTAGACTACTAACGACTTGCTGCAACTAATACGCAACAAATCATACTCTTGTCGTTTGGTCTGCTGCAAAGGCCAAGTCGACCACCACCCGAATGCCACTCGACTGAGCTTCCTCCAGCTTTTGCTACGGGCATCTCAAAGCCCCGATCAGCCCAAAAATTTCACGTACCAACCTCCGATTTAGCTGCACACTTACGAATTGTTCCACTCGTTGCATGCGAATTCGTTCGCGCTGCTCGTTCTTCTGTTCCTCCGTCATGTTCTCACGTTCGACAGCCAGTGCTCGACTTCGTTCTTGTTTCTTGACTTTCAGCCGCTCGTCCTTGCGACCGCGGCGGTTGGAGCGCATCATTTCACGTCGAGATTGCTTGGTAGTTTTCTCTCGTTTGCTAAAGTATTGCAAACCATGGCGAGACCCATACAAACCCAACGCCCAACAGGTCGAGACAACCACTATGCCCACTGCCACATTCGACAGTCTCATTTTCGCTGATCTTACATGCGATTGGTTGATGCTCATCTTTTTTAACGTTTTCATTGGTCGATAATTTGCTGGTGCTGACGCCACAACGATCACGGCCAAAAGCTCACTTGACGATGGCTAAGAAGCGTCGACGCTCGGAGAGCTTTCAAGCTGATGGTAACGACGCACGTAAGCGGCTGGCAGCATTCCATGCGCGAATGTTTGAGTTGCCACAGGAAGACGCGCCTGTTGCGACTCCAGAGACACCTCGTGTAGTGTTCAAGGCTAAGACCAAAAAGCACAAAAAGAGATCCTCGGATGCAGATGACGGAGAGCGTGTGCCCATGGTTAAGTTCAACAAGGTGAGGAACAAGAAAGAGAAGAAGAAGAACGTTGTAAACGTTGCGGAGAAGAAAGTGGCAGTGGGTCCAGCGGTCGTGAAGGTTCCTGGGATGCCAAATGGTTTTAGGAAAAAACCGCAGAAAAATAATGTGGAGGAGAAGAAGAAACAAAAATTGAAGAATACAGCTGTACAGACAACGCAGTATCAATCTTTGCTGACCGAGAAGGAACAAGATGACGAAGATGACGGAGTGGATCCGTTAGAGCAGGCGCTGAGCAGCGTGAAAGCGATGGTGACGGAAAAGAAGGCAAGGAAGGTGAAAAAAATGGCGTTGCCAGCCCCGCAACCACATATGAAGAAGGAGACGGAAGAAGAGGAGGACGAAATGGATCCGTTGGGACAGGCGTTAGGCAGAATTAAAGAGATGGCGACAAAACAGGGTGCCAAACCAATGCTCAAGCAAAACAAGGGCATGGCGGTTGCTTCGTCGAGTGTTGAGAAGGCGGAAGATAGCGTGGAGGTTGTTGAGGAGCAGAGTGGCACTAAAGAACTTGCTGTGAACAATAGCACTGGTGATGGCTCGAATCCAGCCTTATCAATGAGCAAAAAGAAAAAACGTAAGAAGTTGACGCGAGCGCAGGAAGCAAAAAACAGCGATCCGGCGCCGGAAAACATACAGGCAACTATGAATGAAGCGGCGAAGGCCACATCTGGGGTGACCGAAAGTGAGTCGACTGTGGGAAACACCCCAAATAATCCAGCATCCAGTAAAGTCACTGCGTCATCCCCAAAATCGCCAGATTTCACAAGAAAAAAACAGAAAAAATCTACCAAGATGAAATCAGTGAGCAGCCAATCACATAAGACACAGATACCTCCGCCAACTAGGCAAGGGAAACCGCTGATTGTGTCGAACGAATCAGAAAGTCAAGCTGTGAACAAAGTAATGGTGACCAAGGATTCCAATACCGTATTGTCCAAAGCTGCCAAGACTACTCCAGTTAAGAAGGACACAACTGCAATCAAGACTGCTGTTTCTAACAAGAATGTTATTCGTGACGAGGAAAAGGAGACTGTTATTTCCAGAGAATCGATGACGCCAATTGTGGCTTCCTTAGCTAAGGATGCAAAACAGAAGAGCGACATGTTCTTGCCTGCTCAAGAAACACCACGTAAGCCTGCAGTGCTATCAAAAAGCTCAGATAAGTCTGTACCCCCGCGCACACCTGCAGTGCCAGATAAGTCTGTACCACCTCCGGTTGCTCAGTTCACTGATGCGTCTTCTTCATCGGAAAGCGACGATGAACGTGGATTTGACTTTGATCACTGTGATGATAACAACTCATCATTATTTTCTCGCCTCATCGACTCGGCTGCTCGAGAGCGTTGGGAGCTCGTGGAAGTTGGTCGGCTCGTTCGATTGTTCGCTGCGGAGTGGGGTTTTAAAGAGAGCAAGACAGCACGCTTCCTGCTCGATACTTGTCCCGAGCTGGTTAGTGTTGACTTTTTGGAAGGATTGGGTGTCAACTTATCGGCAAAGCAGCTGATACAAGTTTTTGAGGCCGGATCGGGCAACTCCAGTGTGTTGATGAACAAAATGGCGTCTGCTGTGGAGAATGGCCACTTGAGTGTGCGTGACCCGTCCTTCGTCTCAGCACTAGAGCGTCGTGTAGCGCTGATGGAGTCGAACGCTGAAGTTATGGAGCTACTGCATCCGCTCTTGGAGAGTTTGTCAACCGTTCGTGATGTTGGTTGTTTGCTGAAGCAGCTGTGCGAGCACTGGCAGCTCGAGCGTAAGATTGGTTTGGTTCAGCAGGTTCTGTTGTCGAGCATATTTGACGACCTAGATGGCAACCAGGATGAAATTCTTCTTGACTTGCCTGATCTTACTGGACGATTGGATTTCCCGAGTCGCTTGGACCAGGAAGACGTCGATGAGAATGGCAACTTGAAGGGCTTCCTTGCTAACGAGGATAGCGAGTACAGTGGAGTGGAGGGATCTGAAGAAGAAGACGAAGAGAAAGATAGTGACGACGATGAAGACCCGTACGAGGGTGAGACCGATTCCGACGAAGAGATGGAAATCGCTGGGTGTTCTCGAAGCCGCAATCAGTTTATCGAAGACGAGGCCGATGTCGGTGAAGAAGACGAAGAAGAAGAAGAGGAAGATATTGAGCGTCACGATGGTGGTGAATCGTCGTCTGATAGTGACTGAGATCTTGAACCGCGTTAGAATTCAAAATACAGTTAGGTCAGCACACTTTAGTTCACTGGAGACGTTGGGATAAGTTTGCAACCTACATCTACGACGAAAACATGGCGTTCAAGACAGCCAGAAGAGCAAAAATCAGGGCAACCCACATGTACGGAGCCATGCCACTGCTTTCCTTGCTACTCTTGTTGGAGACCTTCTTCTTCGCGTGGGCAATAGCGGCTGCGTGTTTCGTCACCATGCATGTGATAATTTAGATCGGTGCCAGTACATCAAACGACAACACCATTAGAGACGTACCAGCACGGGCAGCAGCAGTGTTGTCTTGGTATAGCTCATCGTCTGCGCCCTTGCCGCGACGGCCACCCTTCTTCGAGGATTTAACTGGTGACTCCTTCACTGGGTCTTCAGCATCGATATCTTGCTCAAAGGTTTGCTGTGCAGTCACGCCGTTATTGTTGACTTCGGCAATCAAGTCTGGGAACGCAGTAGTCAACGTCTCCGCGGCTGCACTGGGCCAGTTCGCAGTAGGATCACAATGCATCGCCTCCGAGTGCAGCGGAGTGTTGCCGTGGGTGTTCTTGAGAGGTTTGGCGCCCTAAACGGTTTGGCCAAAAATTTTAGAACGGCACCATCGATAGAAATTATACCAAAAACGCAAGGTTGCAGCACGAACCTTGGAGATCAAATAGTTGATGAGTTCAATTTGATCATCACTGTTCATGATACACGCCCAGTGCCTGAGGATCACAACACCATAATTTAGCATCATATTCCTAAATGTCTTCAAACAGCACCACTTACAATGGCGTGTTGCCCTTGGCGTCCATCACGTTAACATTAGCACGACCGGTCTCAATCAGCAGCTGAACGATCTCGAGGTTTCCCTTTCCGACCGCGACATGGAGCGCCGTCATCTTCTTGTTGTCGACTGCATCCACCTTGGGCTTCGATCGGAGCAGTAGCTTTAACGACTCCACCTCCTCATACTCTGTATGCCCCATATAATTAAGTCAGTATGTCTCTCAGCCTCCACTAGCACTGAATATTGTACCTGCTGCCAGATGCAGCACCGTCTGGCCCGACGAGTCTTGCACACTCAGATCGGGTTTGCTTTTTAGCAGAGCAAGGAAAATCTCCTCATAGCTCGGTGGCTGCTGCGCCAGCGCAAGCATCAGCGGTGTGAAACGGCGCTTCTTATCCTGCAGATTAAGCATGGCGCCATTGGACACGAGGTGCTGCACGATCTCGAGCTGATCTTCAGCCACCGCCACGTGCAACACTAAAGGTGTGGTAATTATTCAATGAAATAATAATTTAGTCGTGCGATATAACAGCTATCGTAAGTTTGATTTCTGCTACGCAGTAGCGTACCTGACTCGCCCTTCTTGTTCTGGAAGCCCCAGTCGCTGCGCAGCTCGATCACCTTCTCTAGGTTCCCGTTCGCGGCGGCACGAAGCAGTTGCGCCATGATGTCGTGGATTAAATTTGAGGATTGAGGGGGTCATGTGATATTGTAAATATTTGACTAATCATAATGTTTGAATTCGTCGATCAAAAGATGAAACTTGAAGTCGTGATTTTTTGAAAACAATTTTGCCCGATGACAAGATATTAATCCACTTCAAGGTTTCATGTAATTGGTGGCCATTGCGGACTGAAATCTACACCTACGGCTGCATAAGTTAAACTGTTGGTACGACGCATTAGCTCTTGTGGCTAGAGCTGGAACTTCTGCTCGGTCTCCTGGTCTTCTGAAGTCCATAGCACTGAAGCGGGGAACGGCGCAGCGACTGCCGACGAATTGGACGGCGTGAGGTGGGGAGACGGGAATTTGGGAGGAAGTGACGACGTATGCACGGGAGTGGTCGAATTGACTGCCCCCACTGGAATATGCACCACCGGAGCCAACACATGGGCGCTGCTCACGTCGGTTTTGACCTGTGGTTCGATGTTGAGCTTCATGCTGGACACAGCAGATGCCATGCGAACGTCACGCTCCACCTCGTGAAACATATCCTCGGTGCTGGACAAAATCTGTAGCAGATTCGGGTAGCTCGAGAACGACGATAAATTCACCTTACGGCGCATGTACTTGGACCGCGTGTTGTACCCCGTCATCTTGTCGTGCTTTTTGAGGATCTGATGATACGAGGAAAAAAAACGTTAGTCTAATGTACCCGTGTTTCATTGCACTGTCTACTTCTTCCTCTCACCTTCGAGAATCCCTGGTAGTTCATGACAGCGAAGTTTTCAAGCCGAATGCATTCGCGGTAAAAGTGCACGAAGGCGAACATGAGTCGCTGCGCTTCGGGTGCCTCGATCTTTTCCCGTTTCTGATAGACATAACAATTGTCAGAGTCTATACTTGCTAATAAACCAAAATTCGCGTCGAGTTTGTACGAACCTTGAGGTTTTTGAGCACGGAGCGTAGCTGCTGATAGCGGAATGAGCAGCGTTTCTCCTCAGCTGCGTAGAAAAGCGAGATCTTCTTGAGCTCGGCCTGAAGGTCACGAAAGAAAGCCACCTCCAGCTCGGATTCAGCTACAGCAATCGATAAATATCTATCCGTTTGCAGATTTCGTCTAACAAGTCTCCTCCTACGTACAGATATCGCGCTGGTTGGCAGCGTGGTGCGCCGCGCGGGTCACGGCTTTGATACGCTTTTTGAGAATCTTGTAGTTGAGCCAAAAGGGCGCCCACTCCGGGTTGCTCTGGAGAATCTCCTGTAGTAGACCTTTGCCAAACTTCATAGCGTTCTAGACTGAATTGACGATATGAGTTCCGTCCAAGCCTGGAGTCAGCCCTGCAGCTGAATAATTGGGAAGTGATGAGCCTCCAGAACGAGGACGGGCGAAGAATCCGAAAGCCCAAATGATAATGAGCCGCATGCCAGGAAGCGTCAACTCAATCTTCCGCCTGCTTGCTTCAATGCGCCCATTTCCAAGATTCACGAAAACTAGGGTCGTTGATAAGTTGGAATTTACATAAGGTCGACGACAGGCTTTCGAGAGCCTAAAATGTAGATTTTACTTTAATTTAAAGGTTACATGCGATTCTAGTGGGCTTTTAGAGGCTATTTCTTCGGTATGAAACAGTTGTAGAAAACGGTCATCGAGTCGCCGAGATTCGGAGATTCCACTATGGCGCGTTCCATAGTGAATCCAAGTGTCGACCGCACAACCGGAAAGCTATCCGAGATTCGACAAAAGTTTAATAAAGAGACGACACACGCGCATCATCATCTGAGAAGCGCTATTATAAACTCGGCTTTCTCCAAGCAGACATTTTGCACGCGTATGGACCGCAGACGATCTCTGCTGGTTAAAAAAATATTATGACTCAAGCTGGTGAGCTTCGTGCGTGCATTTGGCAAGTCGTACTATTCGACCTACAGTACGAGTATTACTTAAGTATTAATTTGCCAAATCTATCTCCGCATTTCCAAAGCCCTGACCAGTCAGTTTCTACGAGAAGGTACATGTAATCGAAGAGAGCCACCACTTACCCGTGTCCTCGCTCTGGTCCATGTTTACACTTCGAATTCGCTGCCCCGCCATGAAAATCTACGTTACGAAATAACGACGTGCGACTTCGTTGATTTACATCCGTTCAGGTGCCGGGTTTTTTTTGTTAGGCTTTTCACTCGAGCAAGCACGTATCTTACCGGATATCGTGAATTGCCAGCAAACATGTATTTTAGTCTGTATTTCCATCCTATTGCCATCGCACGGTTCTCCATCCCACACGGTCGACGTCTGTATTATGAAAGTCCGAACGATCTAAGCAGTTCGTAATGAAGTACTACCCGTGTCCGTGCAATTCCATTGTCCCCCGAGCTGTGGTTTTTGGTCACTGTCGGGATTCATAGGGGCGACAATCACACGACTGTCCCTATTTCTGCATACCGGTAATGAGGAACTTGCACAATACATGTAGAGATGCTTTTGACGGTTATTCTAGGAATGTCTGCTCAACCGGATGTCTCTAATACCAAAGACGCTAGTAGAACATGCTTTCTTTAACGATAGCATTTGAGCATTCGTAAATGACACTGCTCCTGGTGTTATGGGTACATGCCCTAGTGTCCTGGCGTGACCATTTCTAGCGTCAAGATTCTGCGTGTGCTGCCCCTGTATCGTACTTCAACGGCGTCCATCTCATTACTGCGCAAAAACGTTGGGGGCAACTCGAACGAGATTCATACTTATCCTTCGTGCGATTCAAAGCACTACTCTCGGATGCGCAAACTCTCCAAAACTGAAATATATGGTTCACAAGCGCCAGACTCTGGCCCAGAGCTCGTGAGACTCGTCAAAATGAGGCGCTGTGCTTCGATTGAACGAACTTGCTAGGCTGGTGACTCCACATCCAGCGTTGTCGCCTGAATATCTATGGCCTGCAGTAGCTACATACATGCATTCATATACAGTTGCGCATCAGCAACCTTCTTCGGTAACGAGGAATCGTCAATTATCAGACGCTCGACAGCACGCCGTCTTCCTTTCTTGGAAAACGAACAGATCCTGATGAATTGGGCAGTTGATCGAAACCTGTTCATCTACGCGTACAGAATCATTTCGTCTACCACATACTGGTACGGTGTCAATCGCAGTATGCTTTGCCGGGATATACCCTTTCTTCCAGCAACATAACGACTTCAACATGATAACCTGACTAACTAAAAATGTACAATCACGTGTTCGGATGGAGTAGTCTCTACGTAGCTGTCGTCCCGACCCTATTAGGCATTGTGGCACACTTCTCCTGAAGTTATACATTAGGACAGTGACGGTATTCTCTAAATCACGTTGACTTTTGCGATACCACGCCAGGGCCTATTTGAATATAAGTATTGCTATCACATGCACCACTACACAATTACCAAAGTAATCATTTATGCATTACTCGAAGTGCCACGGAACCAGTCAAGTGTCGGCCAGCAAAACCGAAGGACTCCGAACCGAAGCGAGGTCGATCATGGCTAGTCACAAAATGGCCGCGGGTTGAATAACTTTCTGTCTCCACAGGAAGTCGGAGAAATGGTCACTTGAATGATCGCACAGCACTTGCTCCAACTCCATAGCAATAACAACAATAGATTAGCCTAAATAAGAAGTGGGATGAAACGAACCGTCAGAAGCAAAAACATCTTCGCGTATACAAAATGCTCATGGTTTGTTCCTCAACGGTATTCAGCGAGAACACGATGTAGATAACTCCGCCTGACACGTTCTTCAAGTAACTGATGGCTGATTGCCTTCATCCCACGCATTCGGTTCTCACACCAAGTATTGCGTACGTCCAACTTCATTCTTGAACGCGTTGCATTCGCGACACAGTCCTAAAGGAGCAAGAAAATCTACGAACGAAGTCCAGCAATGGTGTACACCTCCGGTGGAGGGCTGCGCTTTTTTGTGCAAGCTGCAAGCGTTTGTGTGATTGGTTTAAGCGTGATTCCTACAGCACAGCCACTGGCAAGCAACGTTGACTCTGGAAGCGGATCAGTCGTAGAGGAATTGGTGGGGGACTGTGAAATTTCCGATGGAGACAAGGCGTTTGGCATTCAGGGGGTTATCGATATTGCGTGTGCTACTGGCGGGCTTGGCTGCTACAATGATCACTGCCGATACTGCAAAGTCATTGACACTTTGAAGTCCGCACATTTAGAGAGTTGCGAGTCGCTTGGAGCCTCGTTTCCTTCAATGGCGCCACTGAAAGTCTCCACGGAAGCCTGTCACGTTTCTAGTGGTGACGCTGCTGTCGGTGTCGGAGGAATGACAGACCCTTCTTGTCTCTATGGAGGCATCGGATGTTTCAACGACCACTGCCGATTCTGTCAAAGTAAACCAACTCCTCAGTCCTCTCATTTCTTGCTGTGCTCGTGGGTCGAAAATTCCAGTAGAAGTGCCGAGTCTCTTGAAGGTTCTGCTGGGGATGCAGGGTTGGACCGAGTCTTGTCCTCCGAGAGTACCGCAGCGACGGGGACTAGTAGCGTGTGCTCCATGACAGCATCGGATGGCGATGTTGCGGTCGGCATTAACATCATTACTGACGTGACTTGTGCTAGTGGTGGTTCCGGGTGCATCGACAACATTTGTCGTTTCTGCAAAACCAAGGACACAACGCAGTCGGCACACTTCACTGCTTGCCCCGCTGTTGCTACGAAGACCTGCACTACACCGGTGTCGTCCGGTGACGCGGCTGTCGGCATCAACATCGTCACTGATGCGTCGTGCGCTCAAGGAGGCTTGGGGTGTATCGATAGTGTGTGCCGTTTCTGCCGAACGACTTCTACAGCCCAATCATCCACTTTTGTGGACTGTGCCTTGATCGGAACCCAGACTCCAGTAACCACTACAACACCTGTAGTGACTACACCGGCACCAACCCCAGCACCAACCCCAGTACCTACAACAGCAGCGAAGCAAAGCTGCAGCGAGACCGTATCGGACGGCGATGCTGCTGTCGGTATCAAGATTGTCACGGACTCTAGCTGCAGTTCCGGGGGCTTAGGCTGTATTGACCAGATCTGCCGGTTCTGTCGTGTCACGACTACCGCCCAATCCGCGTCGTTTGTAGACTGCGCCACAATTGCCGGCACACCAACCACGGCAGCTCCAGCGACTACACCAGCACCAACAAAGACACCGGCGCTGACCACCGTAGCTCCGACAAAAATGCCAGCACCAACTAGTGCGCCATCCACTACTATCTGTACCATCATCGCAGCGGCAGGTGATGTTGATGCGGGTATCAACATCGTTACGGACACTACATGCGCCTCTGGTGGCCTGGGTTGCATTGACAACGTGTGCCGGTTTTGTCGAGTTTCGTCTAGTACTCAGTCTTCAGGGTACGTGGATTGCGCTGCCATTACAGGCACCACCACTCAGACTCTTCCGACATCGGCACCAACACCTGCACCAACACCATCGACAAAGGTCGCTAGCCCTGCGATTGTATTTGAGTGTTCTCGTACCATATCGAGCGGAGACAAAGCTGTTGGACTGGACATTGCCTCTGATATTCGCTGCAGTGAAGGCGGCACTGGATGCTTGGACGAGGTCTGCCGCTTTTGCAAACGCTTCGACACGGTCCAGTCGCAGTCGTACGTTGACTGCTCTACGATCCCGTCGTCCGACATCGGCTTCGACATCAGCTTTGTGCCAATCCCTGTTGTTGATTCGGATGCTCCTACAAGAATGCTCGCAGCGGACTCGCCTAGTAGTTTAGATGCATCCAGCAGACCCGATGCATCCGATTCATCCTATGAAGGCTCGGCGGCTAGTGTGTGCACAATGGCTGTGTCCTCTGGAGACGCCGCAGTTGGTATCAACATCGTGACGGACACAAGTTGCTCGAGCGGTGGTACCGGCTGCATTGACACTATTTGCCGCTACTGCAAGACCAAGGACACTGATCAATCTGCACACTTAAGTAGTTGTCCATCCACCACAGCGGCTCCACTGACCACAACTAAGACGTGCATGACTTCGGTTTCGGACGGGGATGCCTCCGTCGGAATCAACATTATCACGGATACGAGCTGTGCTATCGGCGGACTCGGTTGTATCGATAGTATTTGCCGATATTGCAAAACGAAGTCGACGGATCAGTCGACGCATTTCGGTAGTTGCTCAGACTACTCATCAACGACCAGTTCTCCTGCCACCAGTGCCCCTGCCAGTACAGCACCACCAGCCACCTTCGCTCCTGCGGTGACAACTTCCCCGACTTCCACGACTACTTATTCGATTCCGATGGATTGCTATCAAACCGTGTCTAATGGTGACAAAAATCTCGGCTTAGACATCGTCACGGACATGCGCTGCGGTGACGGAGGTGTAGGCTGCGTCGACAGTATCTGCCGTTTTTGCAAGCGTTTCGAGACGCCACAATCTCATTCATACATGAACTGTTCCGACATCCCTGCCTCGTATACTGGCGCAGACATTACTTTCAAGCCGATCTTGCAAGATGACACAATGGAGTCGTCCGCTGCAGAAAGGATAGTTGGCCTCCACGAGTCGGAAGAATTTACGGCGGTCGAGACGGATGGCATTTGTGCAAATGTGTCACTGGCAGACGGTCAATCGGCTGGAGGAATTGGCGTCGTGCTCGACACGGTTAACTGTCCTGAGGGTCTAGCATCGGGATGTATCGGAAGTGAAGGATGCCGATACTGCATGAGATTCCCGACGAACGTGTCGGAGTATTTGGAGTACTGTGCGATCGTGAATAGTACCGGCGTGGCATATCCTCTAACAGGTGTATCTCCGTCCATGGGAGATGGAAGCACTCACTCGGCTGATGCGGGCACTGCTGGGTCACTCTCCGCTGAAACTGGTAACTCTATTTCAGCTGAAACGAGGTCATCGGATGCGGGAGCTCCGACCTTTGTCAAGAGTGGAATCATTCAGTGGATTGCTGTTGCTGCTGGTTGCGCTGGAGTCGTCATTGTTGTGGCTTTAGCTGGAATTGGTATCAATCGAACGATTAAAAACCTTGCGGGCCGGAACGCACGATCGTCAGACAACGAGAAGGTCAGTCCCGAAGATGAAAATCGCACCAGCGTGCTGGTTGCCTCGAATGTAGGTGAGCCCGGCATTATTAGCGACGTGTAGCAGAATTCGGAAAAGCTCTTTAGCACGCACTGACAGCATTCACCAACTATCAGAATCCACTCATCCAGTGCAGGTTACATGCCCAGACCTTGCAGTGTACCGGTAGCACTTTCCTTAAGCTTGATCGTTCATAATTTCAATTCAACCCTTCATCGACACTAAACACAAGCGAGAATTACTGTGTTAGTCAACGGTGTCAGTACAGTTTTGTCATAAGGACACCTTCGACGAAAATACGTTGGTTTAGAAATAGAGACAACGAGAGCTCACCTCCAGTCTGAGTTCCTGCTCTTCGTCCCCTCCCTGCTGCTTATTGATTTCGTTGCAACTCATTCAATTCCATACTTCGAATCCGAAACACCAACCTATGCCATGGGTAGCATGTTTTCACGCGAGCCCGTGACTGTATCGCCACTGACGCACCACTTTCAGTCAACAACGCAAGCTGGCACCCTCGTTTACGTGGCATTGTCCAAGAAAAAGCACCGCGTGAATCCAATCACAGATTCAAGACGCCTTGATAGCTCTACCTTCTTTGGACTCAAAGTTCCTTTCGAAGAAATTGAGATTGAGAGTCAAATTGGCACTGGCACATTTGGTGTAGTATATAAGGCGTTCTACAAAGGGAAACACGTAGCGCTCAAGCGACTACTAGCTCAGCGGTATTCTGCTAAGACTGTGCAAGACTTCAAGAACGAGCTGTCAATTCTCTCCATCTTGCAACACCCTAACATCGTGATGTTTCTCGGTGCCGTGCTTGAGCCACCAACGTTGTGTCTTCTCACAGAGCTCTGTGCTGGATCATTGGCAGATCTGCTTCAACTTGCACGCAGCAAGCAGCTAAATATCACGTGGGGGCTCACACTCGAAATCGCACTAGACTGTGCAAAAGCCTGTGCCTACCTCCACGCGCTTAATCCAGCTGTGCTTCACCGTGATATCAAGGTATAAACTGCAAAAATATTTTCTGAGATATTCGATCATAGAACGGTTCATTGACGATAGTTTTGCTTTCGTAGGGAGAAAATCTATTGATCACGGAAGACTTTCGTTGCAAATTGAGCGATTTCGGTCTCTCACGCAGCCTCGACAAGAACGCCAACGCACAGACGATGTGCGGCACGCCGCGGTGGTTAGCACCGGAGGTGTTTCGAGGCGAGGACTACTCGGAGAAGATCGATGTTTATTCATACGGTATCGTGCTGTGGTACGCGATCTCTGCATTTACACAACATTATGCAGGATTTAATGGATTTACTGAAACCAGGGAACTCTTCTGCTTCAAGAAGCCGTATCTGGACAAGGATGCCATTAATCTGGCTTACCTCGTTGCTCACGAGGATCTCCGCCCCGAACTGTTGCCTCATATCCCAGAAATTTTGCATCGAATCATGAAGGCGTGCTGGGATCCTGACCCGGTCCAGCGGCCGTCCTTCAGTACGGTCATCTTCCTCATCGAAGAGGCCAAGAATGTCGTACCGTTAGGATTGGCTATCGATCTCTCCAAAAGCTTCTCAGAGGCAACAGCAGTGCAGCGCTCAATACCATCAAGACCGAAGACACCGACAGTTAAAAGAAATTATGGACTCACGTCGGGTATGATTTAGTTCACCAAAATATTGTCAAAGCTGACGTAGTCTTTTGATACTGGTGTTAACCACAAACAACAATATGTTTAAGCTTTGAACACAATCATTGACTTGGTGAAAAGTTTACGCCTTGTGTAAACGTTTTCTCACTGTCTTAGAAAAAAAAAAAAACGCAAAGATCACAACAATCTCAAAGATCTTACAATTGACAGGTACATGTTCAATGTTGCCATAAGAAAGTGATGTTTTTCATTCCGTGGTACATTCATTTATAAAATATCGTCCAACATTCGTCCTCCGAACGTCAACACACTGCTGGCGTCGATACACTCATTGATCTCGCATTCCATTTGTCATCACCAAGCAGTCCCACCGCCCAACATTCCTACCGCTCGGATCACATCACCCAGTCAGCTCGTCCTTGGCATGCCAGGATGCTCTTTGCAGCGATGGGACCTTAGCTTCAGATACTCGAGCCGAGCTGCACAATACGCGGGTAGCACGGCAGCGTGAGGAAGTCCACCATGTCGTCGCCCGTCAACACCTTGCCCATGATCTCGCCTCCAAGTGCCCACTTGTTGCCCGGAGCAGCATCCAGAGACCGCTTGTTGACGCACTCCTTCAGAATGTCCAGTACCAGATCCTTCGTCACAGTCTTGCCCTCCACAGTCTTACAACTGTGATGGATCCACTGCCACACCTGGGCACGGGAGATTTCGGCCGTAGCCGCGTCCTCCATCTTGTTGTGGAGCGGGATGCAGCCACTGCCACGCAGCCACGCCTCTGTGTACACGAGTGACACGTCAATGTTCTCCACTAGACCATTGTATGTGATGGCACCCGTCGGAGGCTCGATGAGCTGAGCCGCAGTGATATCCTTGCCTGCCTCAGGAATGAACGAGATCTGGTTCGGACCCGACATCTTGCTGAACGCGTCCATGGCGATCTTGACGAGGCCAGGGTGTGCCACCCACGTGCCGTCGTGGCCTGCAGCCACTTCACGCGATTTATCTTCTGTGACGGCGGCCATGAACTTGTTGTTGAGCTCCGGATCGTTCTTCACGGGGATCTGAGCCGCCATGCCGCCCATGGCGTGAGCGCCACGACGGTGGCACGTGCGAACGAGCAGCTTAACGTAGGCAGCCATGAAAGGTGTGGTCATGCCGACCGATGAGCGATCGGGCACCACGAACTTGGCGTGGTTGCGGAACTTCTTAATGTACGAGAAGATGTAGTCCCATCGACCGCAGTTGAGACCCGACGAGTGGTTACGCAGCTCGTACAGGATCTCGTCCATCTGGAAGACAGCCACGATGGTTTCCACCAGCACAGTCGCGCGAATGGAACCCTGCGGGATGCTAAGGTATCCTTGAGCAGCCACAAACACGTCATTCCACAGCTTGGCTTCCAAGTGGTGCTCCAGCTTGGGCAGGTAGAAGTACGGGCCCGAGCCACGCGCCAGCAGCTCATGTGCGTTGTGAAAGAAGTAGAGACCAAAGTCGAACAGCGAGCCAGACATGATCTGGTTGTTCACGAGCACATGAGCCTCGTCCAGATGCCAGCCGCGCGGACGCACCAGTAGCGTAGCCATCTTGTCGTTGAGCGCGTACTTCTTTCCTGTCTGCGGGTGCGTGTACGAGATGG